GGTTTAGGGTTTAGGGCTTCTTAATCTTTGGTTATTATCATAATCCCGAAGAAACGCTTTGGTTATTATACTCCAAAAGAGAAACAGCTAAAATTGCAGTTTTTGCTAGGGCCCCCGGTTCAGTATGAGGCGTGGGGGCTCGAAACAGCGATCCCGGCCTGAGGGTTTGGGGTTTAGGGGGTCGGAATGAGGGCTTTTTTATAGGTTAAGGCTGTTTAGAAGTGTATTTTGAGGTGGTAGAGGGGTAAAAGTGGCTTGAATAATTAGCCATATTCCTGAGGGTTCCCTACCACAGCAACGTTTTCGAATATACCTCCAAACCTACCTATTCTCATTATCAGGGCCCCTATACAAGAGTTCTTCGGGCTTCGGTTGGGTCGCGTTAACTAGGTTCGTGTTTCAGTTGTGTGTTTGGGGATCTATGGCGTATGGCAAAGGATAGTTGCAGTTTGGGGCTCGAGATTTCTGCACATGCCCGGCATGTCCTTACCACTTCCGCAAGATCGGACAGTTTTGGATTGCGACGAATGGGAGTGCCCGCAGAGTGAGACGTACTGAAGCCAAAAGCCTGGCCCGACAGCCTACAACCTTCTACGCCTTGACCTCCGTACATGGAGGATCATGGGACTTAGTNNGTTATAAGTCCCTTAATTGGGATTATAACCCTACCTACTAAGTCCCATGATCCGTTAAGTAGTATTAGGCAATACAGCCCAGCCTGTTATTAGAACTATTCAGGCGCTGCCAGACGCCCTCCTACCTCGCACCCTGCTTACCGAAGCCACCCTAAGCCCAAGCCGCCAAAAAAACCTGCAACCCTGTAAACCCTAATCCCCATTTCCCTCAAACTTCAAGCCTCTCCCTCAGTGAGAGGATCATCTTCTTGGCCGAGAAAGGCCGGGACTTTGCAGATGATTGTAGGACTTTGCTGTCGATTTATAACCATAGACAGGGTCTCAATGGGCTCTATGCGGTTCAACAGGGTTCGCAAGGATTCAGAGCGGGTTCACAGGCTTGGGGTTCGGGGTTTGGTGTGCAGCGTCCCAGTGTAGGGGGCCTCAGTCTCTTCAGGGGTCGGTTAGGCCAAGGAGTGCTGCGGAATATGCGAGCGTGGAGATACCCAAGCAAGCCCTAAACTCTAACCTCTCAACCCCCCGCCCCTAAACCCAAAACCCTAAACCCAAAACCCTAAACCCTAACCTCTCAACCCTAAACCCTAAAACCCTATAAGCCCTAACCGTTACCCCTAAACCCTAAACCCTCAACCCCTAGACCCTGAGGCCTTGAGAAGGACCCTCCCAACTCCCCGACCCCGTGGGCCGAGAGGTGAGTTGAGACTTTTGTGGGTTCCGGGCGCAGCGCGGCTAAAGTTCGCGCCAAAGGGCCGTAGGGCTTTGCAGTAAAGCCTAGAGCCTCCACGCTAGAATCCCCCAGATGAAGATAGCAGACTATATACTTCTAGCCAAACGCCCTCTTGAAATCAGGTAATCGTGCTCAACTGTCCGGCTTTTGACCCTGAGCCCCGAAAGAGCCGAATTAACCCTAAACCCTATAAACCCTATAAACCTTATAAACCCTAAACCAGAGTGATGCCGCAAAAAACGGACCTTGCACCATGTGCCGAGATGGCCTTCCCTTGAGTGAGTCCACACCTCTGCCTGTGGCCCCCAAGAAAGTGTCGGCTCCTCAGACCCCCAGTGCTGTTTTAGGGTTTAGGGTTTAGGGTTTAGGGTTTAGGGTGTGTGTTACTGGGTTTTTGGTAAGGATTTCCGTTAAGCTACCATGACAAGGAAGCCGATTTCGAGCGATGGATCCCGATTCTGGTAGGTTAAGAACAGGTTCTTAAGGAGAACCCAGGTTACGGCTCAGGGCTTGTGCACTTGTGGGTTCTAGGGCTCAGAAGCGACGAAGTTTTGCGGTTCAGGGTTCATGGTTTGGCTGCGAGGGTAGTGTGGGTGGGAGGGCTGCAAGGTTGCTAGTAGGGTTTAGAGTTTTGAGTTTAGGGTTCAGGGTTTCGTCTGGGCATTGCCACTAAATACTCCTCCTGTCATGACCAGTGCCATTGCTACCATAGCGACGATTAGGATGACCATGGCGGTGATATTCACGGTATGTTGACGATAAATGAGGCTGCACATGCTCAACGTAGTCGAATGGCAGGAGCCAAGATAGTTCCAAGGACCACAATGAAATCCCACGTTGCCCAGTTTGATGGTTGATCCGAATCCCCCGTCCAACCTGTCTGAAGCACAACATGATTACGTCCCAATTAAAGATGCAGCTGGCGATGAGGGACCGCCCCTGTTGCTATCTTGTTTGTGGCTTCGGCTTGCCCGTGCCCATCGGCTCCATTGTAGCTCCTTTTTGTGGTTTATATTATGGCTTTACCTGGGCTTACATGTCTTGCCAAGCTCGAGGGTCGAGAAAGTTGTTTTGGGGTTTGGGGGTTTTTGGCGTCTTGGGAAGTTTAAGGTTGTTTGGGGGTTTTGGGGGGCTTGAGTTCCCATGTTGTCGCTTTGGGGACCATCTCAGAGACAGGAGTTGCATCCCAGATTGCGGAGCCATTTTTGTTTAAGCCCTGAGCGCGGCGGTTTTAAGGCAAGTCTCCTCATGGGAGACTTCAACCAAGCCATCGATGTGTCTGAGACATATCCGCCCCCGCCCGAGTTGCGTGCGAAGGCGCATGTGAAGTCAATGGAGGAGTACCAAGCAATGTACAAAGCCAGTTTAGAAGCCAGGTGGCAATTTAATTTGGGAAAACGATTGATTTCCTGTCTGGTCTTCTAGAGGTAGCTGCAAGTAGCTATTACAAAAGGATTTGGAGTCCCCTTAAACTGCAACCCAGGAAGACCCCGAGAATTTCTGGGGCGACATGGCCCGGCAATTCTTCTGGAAGAAACCATTCGAAAAAGTGGGTCCAGTGTACAACTTTGATCGCACCAAGGGAGACGTGTCCATCAGATGGTTTGAGGGAGGCACCACAAATATCAGCTATAACTGCCTGGACAGAAACATTGAGCAGGGGTTCGGATCGAAGACCGCGATCTACTACGAGTGCAACGATTTGGAGGATGCTCATGCAGCCTACTCCTACTCGGACGTGTTGAAGATGGTATGCAAGCTTGCAAACGCCCTGAAAGCCGAAGGTGTCCAGAAAGGAGATAGGGTATCGGTCTACCTGCCGATGATCGCCGAGCTTCCCGCCTCCATGCTCGCCTGTGCCCGGATCGGGGCTGTCCACTCCGTGGTCTTCGGCGGCTTCTCCGCCGAGTCCCTGGCGGGACGCCTAGTGGATGCACAGTCGAGCGTGGTGATCACCGCCGATGGCGTCATGCGGGGGGCCAAGCCCGTGCAACTAAAGGCCATCACGGACAAGGCCTGTGAGATCACCGCCAAGGAAGGCTTCAATGTGAAGCGGGTGGTCTGTGTAGCACGCCTCAAAGACACCCCGCGAGCATCGCAGGCACAGCACGCTTGGGTCGAAGGCAGGGATGTTTGGTACTCCGACTTTGTCAAAACACAGCCGGAGGAGTGTGAGTGCGAATGGATGGACAGTGAGGCACCCCTCTTCATGCTCTACACTTCGGGCAGTACTGGAAAGCCCAAGGGCGTCCTCCACACTACAGGGGGCTACATGCTCGGATCTTTTGCCACGACCAAGTGCCTCAGCACTAGCACTAGGAGCGTTAAGCCAGATTCGACGTCTCCCACCTGTAGGGCTTCTGGGCTTAGGGTTCTAGACTAAGCTACCAAGCTAACCATTTGCGCAAAGGTATACTTTTGACTACCACCCGGAGGATGTGTACTTCTGCACCGCCGATTGTGGCTGGATCACAGGACACTCCTACGTGACCTACGGCCCCATGCTGAACACCGCCACGCAGGCAACATCTAAACCCTCAACCCTCAACCCTCAACCCTCAACCCTAAACCCTAAACCCTAATCCCTAAACCCTAAACAGGCAACAGGTGCTCGGTTCAGGGCCCAGGTTTCCGGAGGCCCACAGAATACAGGGTTTAGGGTTTAGGGTTTAGGGTTTAGGGTTTAGGGTTTGGGGTTTAGGGTTTATGGTTTAGGGAAATTGGCCCCAAATCTGGAGGCCAAGGTAGAAACCCTGAAACTTGAAAACCCCAAGCCGCCAAACCTTAAATCCGAATCCCCAAACCCGAAATCCCGAAATCCCTAAACCCCTTCAACCCCTAAACCCCTAAACCCTAAAGCCCTACACTCCTTCAACCCTAAACCCCTCAACCCTAAACCCCTAAACCCACCCCTTCAACCCCTAAACCCCTAAACCCCTAAACCCTAAACCCCTAAACCCCTAAACTCCTGAATCCCCAAACCCCTAAACCCTAAACCCCTAAACACCCAAACCCTGAATCCCGAAACGCCCAAACCCTCATCCTGAAATCTCCCCCACCCTCAAGCCTGGAAGCTTCAACCCCGAAGAACCCTAATTGAGGGTTTAGGGTTTTGGAACCCTAATTTAGGGTTCAGGGTTTTAAGGTTTTTAAACCATAGACCTTACCTTAAACACTAAAAACTTGTAAGCTTACCGACGCTTTCGAGTTTGGGCTTCCGGGTTATGGGCTTAGAAGGCTTTAGGGTGTAGGGTTTAGGTAGTTAGTTCTCTACATTAGGGCTCTATTTTTGGCTCCCCACAAAAGGAACGGCACCCTTATAAAAAGGACCCTACAAGGGGCCCTAACTTATAATGTAGGGGTTTAGGGTTAAATGGTTTATGGTTCAAGGTTTTGGGGTTTAGGGTTTATAAGATTCACGGTTTAGGGTTTTAACAGGTTTAGCGCGGTTACCAGCCCTCCTGTCCACTGTTCACCCATGCTCCGCCCGTTCTTCAGGTCGTCTTCGAAGGTGTCCCCACGCACCCAGAGGTTGACCGCTTTTGGAAGGTCTGCGAGAAATACAAGGCAGGTGTCCCAGAAAAGGTTCGAGAGATAACTTCTGCTTTAGGCTTTAGGGTTTAGGGTTTAGGGTGAATTCTGAGTTAACTTCTGCTTTCCAAGTAGGGTTTAGGGTTTAGGGTTTAGGGTGAATTCTGCCCCTAAACCATTGACACCAGAGCCCTGTAGGTCTGTGTTTCCAAGCCCTCAAAGTCCCAAGTCTCCCGAAACCTGAAAGCCTGAGGTCAGCATCTTCTACACGGCCCCCACCGCCATCCGGGCCTTGATGAAATCTGGGGACGCGCCGGTTACTCGCAACGACCTCAGCAGCCTCCGACTGCTGGGATCCGTCGGTGAGCCGATCAACCCAGAGGCGAGCAACATGCAGCAGAAGAATATGTCGACGACGAAGACGATGATAGCCACTATCGCCATCGTGATGATACTGATCATGTTGCCCGCAAACATGCTGATCGACGGCTGTAAAGATGATGTTCATGCAATGTGTGCAATGAACCCACGGCCGCTTGATTTCCATGAGCATGGTGATGGTCAGCAAAGCCGGGGTCATTTTGGATTGCGACTGTCGCAGATGCACCGAGAGACCTTGAGGTTGATCAGGTAAGGCAGAAGGCTTTTTTTCATGCAAGTAAGTGTGTCAGTAAGCAAGCATGCAAATAGGCACAATCGGCTATGTCTACCTGCACTGCATGTGCTTAATGTGAGTGTTTGTGCTCATGCGCAGGTTATGCACCTGTGCATAAAGTACATACATACATGTATATGCACATGCACACATGCAAAATACTTGCATGCACATACATGTCTACACAGGCAAACACTCACATGTTGTTTGTGTATAGTAGCAAACACAGGTGTGTGCATGTGTATACATCTGTGTCTGTGCAACCTGCCGTAGAACTCATGCGCACGCCAACGAAAACGATTTCAACTTGCGAAGTTCCGAATTGGCCGGCTAGTTTCATGTGTACACAAGAGTCCGATTCACTTCGGAATTGGACCATGCGTCAAGGATCCTGAGTTGTCACGCACACACGCACAGATGCTGCAGCTCCATACGTACACATGGGTTTGAGTAGGATCATCCTCGTGCACATACCTGCACATGATTCGGTGGTTATGCGTACACACATACGAACTGTGCATGTACACTGTAAATGCATGTTTAAGTGTGCAGGTATGCAGGCATGTTTGTATGTAAGCATGCATGCACGGATGCAGTATAGTATGAATGACAATGACTGAATGCATGAACGAAGGAAGGAAGGAAGCGAGAATCAAGGAATCAAGGAATGGAGTGGAATGAAATGAACTGGAGGGAAGGGAAGTGAGATGAAATGGGGCGGAATGGGTGAATGAATTACTGATGAATGAATGAATGAATGAATGAATGAATGAGTGAGTGAATTAATGAATGAAGGAATGAAGGAATGAAAATGAAAGAACATGAATGAAGGAAGGAAGGAAGGAAGGAAGGAAGGAATGACATGAAATGACATGAAATGACATGAAATGACATGAAATGACATGAAATGACATGAAATGACATGAAATGACATGAAATGAAATGAAATGAAATGAAATGAAATGAAATGAAATGGAAATGAAATGAAATGGAAATGAAATGGAAATGAAATGGAAGAAATGAGATGAAGGATTGCATGAAATGAAGGATTGCATGAAATCAATGAATGAATGAATGAATGACAGGATGAATGAAGGAATGAAAGAAAAAAAGAAAGAATGAATGAATGAATGAATGAAAACTGAAATGAAATTAAGGAATGCATGAGTTGAAGGAATGAATGAATAAAGGAACGAATGAAATGAAATGAAAGGGAAGGAAAGGAAATGAAATGAATTGAATGAAGGATTGAATGAAGGAAGGAAGGAAGGAAGGAAGGAAGAAATGAATGGACAAATGGACGGCAGGACGAATGAACGGATGACTAGATGAATGGATAAATCGATGCATGAATGAATAAACGAACCAATGAACTAATGAATGCATGAAGGTGTGCCTACTTATGCATGCATGCATGGATGTATGGATGGATGTACATGTGTATGTAAGTGTATGGATGCATGGATGGATGAATGGATGCACGCTTGCGTGGGTACATGGATGGACGGACGGACGTGGGGAGGGAGGGAGGGATGGATGGATGGATGGATGGATGGATGGATGGATGGATGGGTATTCGTCCTGTCTGCATACATGTGTGCAAAGTCGAGCGGATGTTTGGAAGCAGGATGATTGATATGCGAACGCACGCACGCGCAGACGCAGACTCTGGCTTGCGTTGATGCGCAGGTACATGTGCATGCTTGTATGCTGGATCCACAATGATTCCCGAACCTACTTTAACATGCATTAGTATGTTACAGTATCCGATAGTATTAGATTACTTCAACCTCTAATACGGTAATATGCTATAGTATATGCCAATCTACTATACCTTGCCGTAGTCTACTCTGACCCCGCTTCTTGAAGAGAATGGCAGGCCTGGAGATGGTACCACCGAGTCGTCGGCGGTGGGCGCTGCGCCATTGCCGACACGCACCTTCTCTCAGCGGGCTTTGCTTCCTTGTTTAAGGGGTTTAGGGTTTAGGGTTCAGGGTACCCTCAAAAACTTGCAGGGTGCGTTTGAAGGGGATTCAAAAAAAAGTGAGCATAGGGACGTTTAGTGGTTTGTTTGCGTTCCCTTTGAATATACCTCTTGGGGTTCTAAGACGATACCATAGGGGGGGCTTTGGGGTGCTATGGCTTGTTTAGGCTTTATTTCGAGTTCGGGTCTTAGAGGTCCAGCGTGTCGGCTGGAAGTCTGTAGGTTGGGTGTAGTATTCAGGGTTTAGGGATCGGTATCGGATCTTTAGTGGTGTAAGACGTTTAGGTGCGAGATTCTAGGACATTGTTCTTCTTAAAAACTGTTGGCTTGAATCTGTGGAACCCTGAACCCTAAACCTCTAAGAGCCTAAGAGTCTGTAGTACTTCGGGCGCCAGGTCGATAGGTCTTTGGGTTCCACGGAAAGAATTCGGTGAGGCCTTGACGAGCATAGTTTCTCATTCGAAGGTTTTTGTTGTGCATGCAGTTTCTTGGATCACTGTAATAGGTATAGTATACGTCTTTGTATATATGTGTATATGTATATCCATATCAATATGTGATTATATATATGAGTATATTTGTTTGTAGGTAATTATATAAGTATATATATATATATATATGTATATATATATATGCATACATGTTACATGTCCCTATCTCTACATGTATATGCTGAAGACTTTAGGTTGTAGCCACGTAACTGTCCTGTCCTCTCCTGGAGTTGCTCATGGTCTGTTCCCTAGCGATGTAAGGTACTGGCAGACAGAGACAGGGAGCCACCTGATCACCCCCCTGGCGCGGAGTGGCGGGAGTAGGGGAGGAGAGGGCAAGAGTAGATTAAGACTCGACAGTTCTCTAAACTCGAAGCCTGGATCCCTGCGCCGCAAACCCATAGCACAGTCATGTCCTGGGTCGCCTTTTCTGTCATTCGACGCCTTGAGCACAGAGTCCCTAAACCCTGCATAATATAGGGGCCCAAAAAATTACCTATACTATTTTGGGGGGTTCCTTATTATATAGTGATACTATAATATAGCCCAAAACGCTATTCTAATTATTAAGGCCCCTACATTAAACCCTACTTAGGCGCCTAGGGGCTTCGGTGCTGTGGTGTTTAGGGTTCAGGATCCACGAGGTCGCTCAGAATTGCTGTAAACCATACGGCTTCGCTACATTTTAGGGCTTCGGGGCTAGGGTTTAGGGTTTAGGGTATGGGGCTTCGGGGTTTCACGAACCCTGGGCTTGGTTCCTTGAGAAGAGCTTTATCAACTTCGAGCACACCTACAGCTGAGTCTACTTACCAGAATTTAACACACCGGCTATGCTTGAAAGGCCTAGACCCCGAACTCCCCCTGAACACCAACAAAAGCAGTAGTAACAGAAAAAGCAGACGAGCCCGATGAACCTCTAAGTTTAAAGCAGCTTAAAGCCAAAACGCACCTAAACCCTAAAGCCCTGGCCTTCGAACCCATAAATCCCCCTCTGCCACGACAGCTGGCAGGTGCGATGTTTCATAAATGACCGAAGAAATACCAATCCCCTTTATGCCCACACTTTTCAGCATACCCAGGGACCAACCTTGAAACCGCCAGAAAAACTCAGCACAGCTCGAAAAAACAGCCGCTCCTTAAGGCCATAACTTCCTAAACCCCAATACCCTAAACCCCTAAACCCTAAACACTAAATCCTAAACCCTAAACCCTAAACACCCTAAGCCATTAAAGCCCTCGACTCAAGCTCTAAACTCGGGGAGGTGGGGGCCATGACCTGCAAGCCGGGCTCCGCCAGCTTTCCCTTCTTCGGGGTGGAGCCCGCGATCTTGGATGAGAACGGCAAGGTGGGGTTTAGGGTTTAGGGTTCAGGGTTTAGGGTTTAGGGTTTGGGGTTGAAGGTTTAGGGTGTAGGCGGTTCGGGGCTCAGAAAGACAAGCCCAAAATCTTGAGCCCTATAACCCACCAAAATGCCCCTGAACCGGCCTGAGAGGCATAAACAAAGTGCAAATGAAAAGACTTCCCCGAAGGCCCCACAACCCTAAAGAAGCATCCACGATACCCCGAACACTGGAAAAGCAGCAGATAAACCGCTGAACCTTAACATCGACATGTCAAATCCTGGAAGAAGCAGAAACAAACAGCAAACACCACCATTAAAAAATCATCTAAGACTTCATCGAAACGCCTCAGAAGCTCGAAACGCCTCAAACCTTAAACCCTAAAGGCCCTATATAAGGCCTAAACCCTCAACCCTCACGCCCTAAACCCTAATTCCCTTCATGCCTAAACCCTCTCGAAGGAGTTGGAGGGAGAGTGCAGCGGCCGATTGGTGCTCAAGAGGCCGCCTCCCTCCATGATGCGCCGCTTGAAAAGAAGAGCTTAGGGTCTCCTTTCTTGTGATAGGCCCTTTGCAGGGCTTTCTTGTAAGATGATTTGCAACCGAAAATGGGGCTTAGGGGGTTTAGGGTGTTTAGGGTTCAAGAGGTTTCGGGTTTATTAAGGTTTTAGGGTGCAGGGTTGAAGGTCCTTCCGTTGTTCTGTTGGAGGCGGGGGAGGTTCGTTGCCAGCTACCATCAGCTAGGGTTTAGGGTTTAGGGTTTAGGGCGTTCCTGCGGTGCCATGTGACGCCTCGAAGCTGGCCATCGATCGAAAAAATAGTGTAGGGGCCTTGATAACTTCGAATAGGGTTTGGGGCCCATTATACTATAAATATAATAAGGAGCCCCCCAAAATAGTGTAGGTAATTATTTAGGCCCCTATATTGGACAGGATTGGAGCTCATCTGTGTCTAGAACCTGGGAAGTGAAACGGCCCGCTAATGGACACTTAGCGACAAGAGACCGAATGTGTACAAAGAATCATAAACCCCTACACCCCAAGCTGCGCCTCTCAGGCACGGTCTATGGGGACCACCAGCGCTTTGAGGAAACATACTTCTCGCAGTTTAATGGCTGCTACTTCACCGGGGACGGCTGCAAGCGGGACAAGGCTGGGTCAAGGAAGTAGGTTTGGGGTTTAGGGCTTCGGGGCTTTTGCGCTCTAGACTGTGTAGGCGTTTGGTGGGGCTTTAGGGAGAAGATCCGTTTTGGCGCTTCGGGTTTTGGTGTGTGTGTGTGTGTGTGTGTGCGTGTGGACCTGAACTCTTCGAGCGCCTCCCAGTCGTTTACCAATTTCAGTGAGCGCCTTGAAACGGGACTTGCTGCAAGATAAATAACACAAAACCCCTAAACCCTGTAAACCTCTAAAGCCCTAAACCCTAAGCCCTTAAAGCTCTAAACCCCAAAACCCTAAATCCTATAAACCCTAAACCCCTACACCCCTAAGCCCTAAACCCTTTCTGTTAATCAGGCCGAGGGCTTTGCATGTTGCTGACTGCCCCAGCTCTTTCACGAGGATGGCTTCTACTGGCTCACCGGGCGCATGGACGATGTGATCAACGCTCCCTTGGCGTTCTTTAGGGGTTAGGGTTTAGGGTTTAGGGCACAATTCAGGGGTTTAGGGCCTTGAAGTTTGGGGAGGTGTAGGGTATTGGGTTTTGGGGTTTCGGGAGGTGCAGGGTAGGGGTTTAGGGTGTTGGACGGTTTAGGTTTTAGGGGCTGTAGTGCTTAAGGGTTGGTGTAGGCTCTAATAATAGGAGTCAGAGAATACTTCAGGGTTCTGGGATTAAGGGGATGGGGTTTAGCTTGCAAAATGGCAAGTGCGTGCTTTTCTATAGGGTGCCCTAGTGCGCCCCATTACCCGAGTCTAAATGCTTCAGGCCACTGTTTTTATAGGGTATGTAACAACGCTTGGGGTTTGATGAGGTTTAGGGGTAAGAGTTTAGTATAGAGGCCTTACTGATTAGAATAGGGAAGGGGGTATATTATACTCCAATTATAATAAGGAACCCTCTAAAACGGTACAGGTAGGTATTCAGGCCCTACATTGCATGCCTGGCCTTGAATCGGGCTTAGGTTGCAGGGTTAATAGAGATGCTAGGAGCAGGGTCTAGAGTCTAGAATCGAGTTTTTTCATTGTCGGGGATGTCTCTCGGTCCTTAAGCAGGAGTTGAAAGGAGTAAAGAACTGAAACAAACACATCTTACCTACCTGATGAACCCCAGAAAACGTTAAATCCCAGGCCCAAATCAAGCCTCCTAACCCCTAAACCCCTAACTCCTAAACCTAAACCCCTAAACCCCAAACCCTAAACCCTAAACCCTAAATCCTAAACCTTAAACCCCCGCTTTTCAAGACCCAGGTCTCGGGTCACCGAATCGGCACTGCGGAGGTTGAGTCAGCCCTCGTCGCACATTCGAAGGTGGGCTTTTCAGGGGATTGAGTGGGGTTTAGGGCTTAAGGTTTTAGGATTTAATATATAATGCTGTAGGGTTTAGCGTTTTAGGCTGAAGGGTTTGAGGCTTTGGGGCAATAGGGCTTCAGTGGGGCTTCAGGGTTTTAGGGTTTAGGGTGTTGGGGTTTGGGGGTGCAGGGTTACGGGTTTAGTGTTTGCGGATCTTCGGTTTTAGGATTTCTCTAAGGGTTCCTGCAAGGCTGTCTTTTAGGGTTTAGGGCTTAGGGCTTAGGGTTCGAAGCAGGGTTTGGGGTTTAGGGAGTGGCCCTAGTTAGAATAGAGCTTCATAGTTTAGGGTTTGGGTTTAGGGTAGGCCCTACTAAGGTTTTCTTTGTGTATCACAGGGTTATTACGGTTTTGGGGGATTTGGGGTGGATCCTGGTTGGACGAGAGTCTCACAGGGCTGTATGCAGGGGGCCTTGCTATTCGGAATGCATGGTAATAGGCGGTAATTGTATCTATATCTACAGTAGGGGCAGTCTATGGCGATGTTAGTACCACTCCGTATTACGGCTGCAGGTGTTTGTGGATAGGGATGTTTGTGGATAGGGATGAGGGTTTCAATTTCAGAGATTGGGATCTAGAGCATTTGCGTGAGTTGCGAAGAGTTTTTGTTGGATCGTGGCTTGAGGCCTTCAATCGCCTGTTTAGGGGATTCGAGCCCTAAGCCCTAAACCCTAAACTTTAAGATGGGGCTGCAGGCTTTGAGGTGTTCGAGCTTCTGCTAAGGTCTCGAGCCTGGGGGCCCGGCTCGGAGTATTGTTGTTGCAGGCTTGGGGCTTCGCTTAGGAGCTTCTGGTCATGGAAGTTGGATTTTAGGATGCAGGGTTTAGGGTTTAGGGAAGTGTTGGTGGGGGTTTTAGGATTTGGTTTTCGGCGTTGGTTTGTGACATCCCGAGCAGCAATGGCAATCCATTCTGACACAAGACATGACATTCTTGGGCATCGTGAGCATCTGCTGTCCCGAGTTGCACCGCAAATGCCAAGACCGGCAAGCCTCATGAGAATCAGCAACCATGCGAGCATGCAGTCTCCACCGTAAGGCACACTGCCAGCGAGCATCACGAGCATCAGCCGCCCTGCTCTCCACTGGAAGACACGAGATGACGAGCGTCGTCAGCATCGGCCGTTACGCGCTCCAGCATCTCCAGCCGAAAGCCAGCAAGCATTACAAGCATCAGCCGCCATGTACTCCACCCTAAGCCCAAGGCTCGCGAGCATCATGCGCATCAGCTGCCACAGGTTCCACGGCAAGCCGCAAGGCCGGCCAGCATCAGGAGCATCATGAGCATCCGCTGCGCCCTCGACGCCGGCCGTGATGTTGCTTGCCAGCATCACGACCCATGCACACTACCGCAGACCGCGCGTCGTTTGCCAGCATCACGACCCATGCATACTACCACGGACCGCAGTTTACAAGCATCACGAGCTTCAGCCACTGCTACCACACAGTCCCAGGCCAGTACTCATTCCGCCACAGGCCAGGTTCTCGAGCATCATGAGCATCAGCTGCTCGTTCCACCAAAAGCCCGAAGGCCGGCAAGCATCACGAGCATCAGCTGCCATACGTGCCACAACGCGACCCAAGACGGGCAAGCATCATGGGCATCAGCCGCCACGCATTCCACCGGAAGCGGCAAGAATACGAGCATCATCAGCATCGGCACTCTACCAAGTTCTCAAGCATCACGTGCACCAGTACCCTAAATAGTAGGATCCTTAGTATTTGGACCCCAAAATAAGGTACCCCTTATTTTCTGAAACTCCCATCTCAAGGTGGCGGAAGCTGCGGTCGTCGGCTTCCCGCACGAAATCAAGGCAGCCCGGGTTGACGGTTTAGGGTTTAGGGGTTTAGGGTTTAGGGTTTAGGGGTTTGGGGTTTAGGGGTTTAGGGGTTTGGGGTTTAGGGTTTAGGTTGAAACCTCAAAGACCATCTTTTTGTCAAACGATGGCCTAGTCATGTTTTGGTTTCGGATACACCCTAAACCCTAAGCCCTGACCCCTAAACCCTAAACCCTGAACCCTAAACCGTCTCATGTCCTGAGTGCCAAGCCAGAAACATTCAAGACACCAGAGGTGTAGCGATTTTTTCGCTCTCGCTTGAGCACGCCGGGGCCAGCTGTAAGGTTGTTCCGCAGTGCTTGACGGCTGGGTTTGAGGCGAGCTACAACATGAAGCGAACATGAAATCGCAAGAACGGGAATCCCTTTCAACGTCCTGCTCCTTGTGAATATTATAAGTCGTAAAATGATGTCAAGCGTTTCCCTAGGTAAACTAGCTTCGAGTTCCAGCATAAAGTCCACCTACAGCCTAAGCCAACAACTCTTCTGAACCGCTTAGACTAAACCCTAAACCCTTAAACCAGTTGGGGGTTTACGGCTCAGTGCTCTCGGCTCGTAGGCCTTTCATGCAGGTTCGCGACTGTGAGCGTTGCGGCTTCTTGGAACATGTATGGGAGTTTCCGAAAATTGGGGTACCTTCTTTTGAGGTCCTTAAAATAAGGATCCTATTATTCAAGGTACTATATATTAGGGTCCCCTCTTTTCGGAAACCCCTTCTGGTCTTTGAGGCATCAGGGCTCTCTGGTCGTGGCTTGCTTTGATGGGGGAGCGACGGATGGTGTATGGGCTTGGCGGACGGCTGAGTTTCAGAGGGTCATCCAGCCATACTCTAGGGGTATGAATATTCAGAGTTTTTTGTTTTAACAGTATCCTCTGAATTGTCGCAACTGTATACTATAATATACTCCAATACCCTAGTCTGACTGTTAGGTGAAATTGCCTTTCAGCCTGCAGTACCACTACCAAGCAGAAACCCCCAAATCTTAAAGTCCTCTAAACCCTACACAAACCCCTGAACCCATAACCCTTGTAGAACCCTTATAGAACACTGAAAGCCCTTCTGGAGCCCGTATAGAACCCTGATTCCAGTCAACCATCGTAAACCCTAAACCCTAACCCTTTACAGACGCCCCTACTAAGGCCCTGCTCTAAGCCCGAAACCCCTAACTAAACCCTAATCCCTAAACTCCTAAACTCCACTCCATAAACCCCAAACCCCTAACGAAACCCGAATCCCTAAACCCTTAAACCCCCAACTAAACCCGAATCCTGAACCCCTTAATCCCCAACCCCTAGATCTGCAACAGGGCGAGGGCATCTGGTGCTACGTGACCCTGAACGAGGGTGAGGCCTACGAGGACCCCGAAGAAACCCTTGGGCTCGAGACCTCCACGGGTCTCAAATAATTCGAGTAGGGGTCCTTTAAAGGGTTCCTTTAGGGACTTAGGGGATACTACAAGGGTACTATAAGGGTTTAGCACAGTGGGCGGAATAATTTGAATAGGGTTTTGGGGTATGTTATACCATAATTATAATAAGGAGCCCAACAAAATAGTACAGGTCATTGTTTAGGCCCCCATATTAGTCCATGTAGGACTGTTAGGAATTAGGGCTCAGGGGCTCGGGCTTAGGGTATAGTCGGTATAGTGTTCTTAGGAATTAGTTATAAACAGTTTCGAAAGGATTGAGGGTTTAGTGTTCTTAGGAACTATATAACTTCTTCACGACATTAAGTGTTAAGAAAAAACAAAGCTCCAAGTGATCTTGTTGTTTGTGTCGCTGCGAAGGGCGCGCAGGCTAGAACCTCGCAGTTTTTAGGGTTTTGGGGCTTTGGGGTTTAAGATTTCAGCCTGGGGGGGGGGGGGGTGTTTAATTCAGGCGCGCGCCTTTCGACAAGGATTCCAGGGGCCCCATCCTTTTTTTCACTATGCTGTTGCGTGAGGGTCCTCAAGCCCTCAGCCCCCAAAGAAGCCTAAGCGCCCCAAGCTCCTGCAACGACCCTGCCTAAAACCTGAACACTATAGACCAGAGACCTAAACCGTACAATCCACGAGCACTAAACTCCAGACTTCAACGTAGAGGCTGAAAAAGTACTGTAGTTTTTAGTCACAATCTCCCAGTCTCGTCGCTATATGCTGACATTACAGTATGCACCTGCACCCATTTAACCTCACAAGGCCCCCGAGCGTTATAGCCGATGTGCCCGACTACGAATTTTGAAACCCTGAGCCCAGGTAAGCTGAGTAAGAGCCCTAAATGCCAAACCCTGTTCTATTTACAAAGGCCCCCATGCAAAAACCCTATCGAACCGTTGCCAAACGCCAAGCCGCACAACCCTCATGGTAACCCCCCCCTATATCAACAGGCCGCAAGGGTGGGATGAAGGTAGATGGGGTAATCCCAAAATACGAGTTCTTATATAAGGGATCTTCAATTCTGCCTACCGTCATCCCTGCCTACCGTCATCCCACCATTTGAGGCCTCGAACTAGCTATCGTATCTGTGGTCTATTTGTCGAGATCTCCGTGCTAACGGCATTTGACGAGGACAGTCTGAAAGCTGATCTCAAGAAGCAGGCAGGGCACCGGGAGCCTCAACGCGTCCGGGTTCAATAAGTTCTCATCTGGCCAAAGGTGTAAAACAGACTTCGTAGAGACTAAGTCGCATCATTTTTCGGGTGCCCAAAGCTTCACCTTCAGAACTGGTTTTTGGAGTCGAGGGTACTCAGGGTTTAAGGGGTGTTCGGAGTTTCTGCTGTTCAAGATTCCTTGCACGCTTCACCTCGCAATCACGAGCCCTGGTCTACAACAATATGTGAACTTTCTTTGTAGGGTCTATGGTTTGGTTTAACAGGTTTTTAGGACTCTTGGGCCCAGTAGAAAAGCTAGAGATTTCCTCCAAGTATAAGGTCCCCTTCATGAGAGAAGCGAATAAGAAGAAAAGGAACGCGCTTAACATACGTTTGGGCTTAAGGTTTAACATTTAGGAACCTAGTTGTGGAAGAACACACGCACACATTCATGTATCATATGCATGTCTTTTTTCTGTATCCTGAGCCCTCTGGTACACCTTCAGATTCAGGACTACCTTGAGAACGCCAAACCTACTTTTTTGTAGGGTCCCTATAAATCCCATATTAGGGTTTATAATAAGAACCTACAAAAAGTGGGTTTGGGGTTCTTAAGGTCGGGACCTTGGCTGACGGCTGAAGAGAGGGCCTTCACGTGACGGCGTTTTCATTCTCGGGGTACCTTATAGTTCAGGGCCGTTCGCAAAATTGCGGGTAGACCTGAACCTTATTAAAATCCAAAACCCCAGCCCAGGCCCCTTAAACCCTCCGAAAACCCTAGAGCCCTAAACCCTTGCAGCTGTGAATCCCCGAAGCCCTGAGCCCTCAACCCTAAACCCTAAGCTCTTACACCCTGAACCCTCAACCCTAAACCCTAAACTCTGCACCCTATGCCCTCCCTAAACCCCGCAACATTCCCAGGTGCGGGAGGTCATTGGAGCTTTCGCCATGCCTGACGAGATCCACTGGGCCCCTGGTCTGCCGAAGACACGGTCCGGCAAGATCATGCCGCCTGGCAGAGGGGTTTAGGGTTTAGGGTTTAGGGTTTAGGGTTTAGGGTGGGAGTTTCCGAAAATTGGGGGTGTCTTATTTTGGGGGCCTTACAATAAGGATCCGATTCTTTGGGGTACTATATTAGGGTCCCCTATTTTCGGAAAACCCCGTATAGCGGACACATGGGTAGTTCTCTAATGGGCTCCCTTTTCGTAAGGGTGCCTTACTATATTGGGGTGACCTACCCATATGTGCATGTATCTGTATAGGTGCAATTAAAGGTTTTGATCCGTTTGCCCGCCCGCCCGCCCGTCCATCTGTGCGTCTGTACGTACATATGCATGCCTTCAGGCAGAGTTTTCGAGCCAGTCTTGTTGTGGTGTATTTCAAGAGGTTTTCACCAGATCTGAGTAGCATTTCGGATAGGAGGAGCATAGGATCCGAAAACAGTCAAGGGTTTGGGATTTGGGGTTTTCGGATTTAGTGACTGTGAGCTTGAGTTTCGGGAGCAGGTGCACGGGATTGTGGGCTCTGCGGTATGAGAACTGCACAGATTGTCGTCGAATCAGTGTTTGCCTGACGAGTGCCCCCAAGCCGTAAAGACAAACCGCAGACTATAGTTTCCAAAAGGCAGGGGTACTTTACTGTTCGTTGAGGAAGGAACCGGCAGTAGTTGGATGCAGTGCGGTAGTGCTACTGGCGGCGTTTGTGGTAGGAGGAGCAGCAGGAGGAGCGGCAGCGAAACTTCTTCCAATGCATTTCGGCGTGAAGCAGGGGTCTGAAGTGCATTGTCCATCATCACAGTTTACGGCCGTAAATTGCAACAGGATCGTGAGATAGATCATAGGCGGGACAGAGCGGACAGGAGTCACAAGGAGATGAAGACGAACCCTAAACTAAAACCGTAAACCAACAGCCCTAAACCAGAATCCCTAAACCCCAAGATACGCCCTACACCCTAAAGGCCCAAAAGCCTCGAGTTTTGAACCCTCAACCAATCCTCAACCTCACCTTCCCAAAACTAGTCGAAGCCCTCTGGCCCTGGCGTGAAAGAGCTTTTAATAACCTTTATAGAACCCTATAACGGGCTTAGGGTTTCCTAAAACCCCAAACCCATAAAGCCCTAAACCTCTAAACCCTAAACCTTAGGTGTTTTCATGTTTATTTCTGAGAAAACATCCACCTGGCCATTGCCAGGCGAAGAGTCCTTCGGAAGCTCGCGCTGCCGGACTACGAGACACAGGCCGAGAGATGTTTGCTTAGAGTGGTTTTATGGGTTTAGAATTTAGGGTGAGGGTTTAGGGTTCAGAATGAGATGAAAGGTGCTACGGGGTGTGTGGTGCTATAGGCTATAGATGTTTAAGCTGCCCTTGGTGTGGAAAGCATTATGACATGTGAAGGCCAAGAAACGATGTAGAACATACACACACACACACACGAACGATAAGCAACAGGAATCAAGCATCGCAAAACGAAGAAAGCGCTAGTGGTTCAGGGTTTAGGGTGAAGGGTATATTATCATGAGGCAAAGAGTACGCGGATATAGTAACAGCACGTCTCGATGTGTGCCATGCGTTACGGTCGTGCGCGCGGGTCATTTTTCAAAAAGCGCGAGTCAGACTTAAATGTGTCTTCCAAATCTTCACGCCCTCGAAACCCTTGACGAGATTCCACCCAAGGTCCGGAGATATCCTGCGTAGGCTCAACTTCATAATTACCACTTGTGGGTGCAAACCTTAGTGTCTTCTTCGCACCCTCGCAACCCTACATGAACTACCTGATTCCTCAGCCCACCCTCTTTGAGGACCTTGGGGACACCTCCACCCTCGCAGATCCTTCCGTCGTGGATGTGCTGAAGTCCTACCATCCAAGGAAAGCTGCGGCAGGGTATGCCGGCAAGTAGGGACAGCGGAGGGGCCTGAGAACAAGCGCATGAACATGAGGACCCTCTCTTCGTGGCATCGGGACCCCTATAGAAGGCAGCTTGCTAGAGCAGTATGAAAGGGATCCTGATGTTTGTGTGAAGTTATTGGGCCTCCATCCATAGCAGCCGACACACAAGCTTGTCATGTCTCACCCGTTTTTGATTTCTGCGGATTCTATCCAGATATAAGACCCAGAAAGCTTAAAGCGCGATCGGTGCCAAAAAATCCGGTGAGGCTACGTACTTAGCATGAGACTGCATCTTGATTTAGGTTTTGGGGCGTAGTATATGACAAGAATCCAGGGAACACAGGGAATAGCACCACTAAGTCGTCAGATACATGGGTGCCCAGATTCAGGCTTTTCGGCTCAAAGGGATTGATGGTTCAAGGGTTCGGGCCAAGTAGAGGATAATGTAAATGATCCGACCGATAGATACCTAACCTAGCCAGCTAAGCCGATAGATAGATAGATCGATATGGATAGATAGACACAAAGATAGATAGACAGACAATAGATAGATAGTATCGAATTCGGAGGGTAGCCCTTATTAGTTTCATTCAGCAACGCATCAGTAGGCTACCACTCTCATGAGCAAACGCCCAATCCTTGCCCAAAAGGCAAGCCCTAAAAAAGCCCTAAGCCGTAGAACCACACAGATTCGTGACTTATATGCCAAAGACCTTGGAGGGTCGTACAAGGTTCGAATCCGGAGCCCGGACACTTTTTTGGGGTTCCGGGTTTGGGATTTTGAGTTCTGAACCGAAACCGCCCAAACCCTAAACCCAAAAACCCTAAACTCCTACATGCAAAACCCTACAGCCTCCCTCATCTAAACTATCTGTGACGGTGGCTGAGGTACATAGATGGACCCACTGTGGCGGCAGGGTGCTCAGAGAACACGTGCTTAGGGTTTGTAGGGTTTTGGGTTCAGGGTTTATGGTTTAGGGTTCAGAAGCTGCGTGAAGCAATTCGGAGAATCCTGCTCTCCCCGGCCCAATCGCTCGGCTACTCAGGGAGCCATGATGCTTTGAATTATCAGCCCAGCCATTACGCCATTACTCTACAGCCTGAAGAAAAAAGCGTGAACCCCACGCGCATGCGCCCTGACACCTTGCAATTATGGACCTTACAGCCTTTCAGCCGAAATGCTAAAACCCTACACCCGAAAACCCAGACCTAAAGCCTCGAAATCAAGTCTTGGCAAGGCCTGAACCGAAACCCTTAACCCTAGACCTTGCGCCCTAAACCCTGAATCTGAAGCCCTAAACGCTAAACCCTATAAACGCTAAACCCTGCTCTACCCTGAACCCTAAACCCTAAACCTTGCGCCCTAAACCCTGAGCCCTAAACCATGTACACCCTAAAGCCTGAACCCAGGTCCGAACCGTGGTGGCAGCCCTGAGGTCGGTACATCTGAGACTTCCGGGTTTGAGGTTTAGGGTTTAGGGTTTAGGGTTTAGGGTTAAGACTGAGAATTCTGGGTTTGAAGCTCTAACATAGACGCCTAAGTAGGGCTTTAGGGGTTTAGGGTTTCGGGTTTAGGGTTTCGGGTTTTACGGTTTAGGGAAGGTCTAACATAGAAGCCTAAATAGTTACCGAAATTACTGTGAGGGTTCCTTTATTATGATCAGACTATAAGGGAGCCCAAAACCCTATTCTAATTATTAAGGCCCCTATATTATGTGTGGCCCCTAAGAACTTTTTTAATAGACCCCATATAAGGAGACCTGAAAGGTAGGCCTTTCAGGGTTCCATGAGGGCTTTCGGGGAGTATGTTTGGGGCTTTAGGGTTTCTGTTGGGATTTGGGATTTCTGCTGGGCTTCAGGACAGAGCCGACGATGCACCAGGAGAAACTCAAGATCCCCTATGGTTTAGGGTTTAGAGTCAACCCCTCGACCCCTAAACCCCTAAATGCTCCGGCATTGGCGAGGAGAGGAGCGTGGTAGGAACCAGAAACACGACGCAATACAATGGCCTTTCGCCCGCTTGCTGCAGGCTTCGGGTTTAGGGGGTGTTTAGGGCTCAGGGTTTAGTGTTTAGAGGGTGCCTGTGCAGCATTTATGTCATTTATGTGACGCGTCGAGTCAAGAGGCAGCTATCAGGGCTTCTGGGACGAGCTGCGCTCCGAAGGCTGGTTTGTCCCAGCCAAGTAGGTCACCGACTTAACCCGCACGAAATCTTGAAGCGGGTGGAGCACCGAAATCTATTCAAATTTCGATCTCGCATGTTGAATGCAGAGATCGACGACTTGAAGGCAACTGAGCTCCTCAACTGAAGACTTGTTTCAGTAATGATGGCAGACGACACGTGCAGAAGTCACCGGCAGCAGGCACCACTGGCCCTACATGTTAGTATTCAGGGTTATTAGGTTCAGGGTTCAGGGTTTAAGTGTCAGGGTTTACCCTAAACCCTAAACCCTAAACCCCCTACCGTTTTAGGGTCAGTGTTCAGGCTTTCGCCGCAAGCCCAGCTTATCAGCCGTGATGGGACCCAGATACGACCTCGACAAACCCTGCGAAGTCCTCGGACCCCCCGTCAACGAAGCAGCAAATGCTGAAGCACTATTCGAAAACCCTGTAGGAGCCCTAAGCCCTAGAAACCTAGAGCCCGAAACCCTAAACCTATACCCTTGAGAACCCTTGAAGGGAACTCAAAAACCCTTTTTTTGGGCTTTCCCTGCAGGCGCAAGGTGGGGACGAAGTCGCTCTCCGCTCGAGGCGCGACTCTTTGCCTTAAGGGTTCAGGGTTTAGGGGTTTGGGTTTAGGGCTTCACTTTGGGGTTTCGCATGGAGGGTTGGCTTAGCGTTGAGACGCCCTGTTTCTGTTCTCAGATCATTAAATGTGTGAATAAAGTGTGAAAGAAGTGTACGGGAGAGTGTAAATCAAGTGTAATAAAGCCCTAAACTAAACCCTAAACCCTAAACCCTAAACCCTAAACCCTAAACCCTAAACCCTAAAAGTCCCCTTTGCCAGGTCCTGGGGCGCGACCGCCGAATGTCCGAACGGGGCCATGGGACTCGGATCGGCTTAGGGTTTCAGTTCGTGTAGGGTTTAGGGTTTAGGGTTTAGGGTTTAGGGTTTAGGGTTTAGGGTTTAGGGTTTAGGGTTTAGCTTATGTAGCTTAGGAGCCCAGTAGGTAGACTTTAAACTTTTTGGTAGATTAAACCCCTTACGAAAAGAAAAGTTTAAACTTTTTTGGGCCAGGGTACTGGGCTGCTAAGGTAGGGGTAAGGGTTTATGTTTTAGGGTTTAGGATTTGGGGTAGGTCCTATAGGATGTATTTGGGGTTCGGGTTTGGTTTAGGCTAGGACTTACAGGGCCTATTCGGCTCAGCTTCTGTGGTTTATTTCGAGTTTAGGGTTTGGGGGCCACGGTTTAGGGTTTAGGGTTTCGGGTTTGGGGGAGGGCTTATAAGGTTTGTTTTCGGACTGAGTGCGGTTTACATCGGGCTCTTCGGGGTTCTGTGCAGCTTCTAAATTTTCTGCGGCTTATGGAATCTCATGGGCTTTTTAAAAGGGGGTCAAAATCGGGTCGTCTTTAAGACATTGCATGAGGTCGGTGCAAGTGCTTCAAGTTTTGAGGATCAATGCAGCGAGCCCATCATGACCCCTCAGTTGTGGAACACTCTTTCAACTGCGAAAGAGTCCTTACTGTTATGCTTCAGCTGAATTAGATGGCTTGGGTGAGAGCAGCATCAAATAAGAGCCGAGCCCAATGGACGCCTGCAGCCTTTTGAAACACCCGTATGAACCCTCAATAGACAAATTGGAACCCCTAAAGACTAAAGACAATACCGATATTGTATCCCTTGGAAACAAGCCCGCCCAGCCCCTTTATATGAACCCTTACTAAGCCCCTATGGACTTTGTCGCAAAGCACTATAAGGCCTAAAACCTAAACCCTAAACCCTAAGAACTAAAACCCTTAAACCCTAAACCCTAAAACCCTTAAACCCTAAACCCTAAAACCCTAAAACCCTTAAACCCCAAACCCTGAAACCCTAAAACCCTAAACCCCCAAGACCCTAAAACCCTATAAGCTGCTAGAAAGCCAGCCTTGCCGAGCCCTCCGAGGCAGCCGAGAGCTGCGATCCGTACTGCAGTGCGAGCCTCAAGCTCTCCTTGCGTGCGACGATTAGGGTTTAGGGTTTAGGGTTTAGGGTTTAGGGTTTCGGGTTTCGGGTTTCGGGTTTGTGGTTTAGGGTTTAGGGTTTAGGGTGGCTCTACTACCAGTATTAAGAACAGAAATGATAATACTACCGATGTTGCATCCTTTCATGCATAGATCTGCAGATTTATGTAAATGCTGTTACATAGACAGGTAAGGTGTCCGTTTCTGCACGCAGATGAATAGTTTACAAGCACCCTGGTTGTACGTTAATGTATGAGCATGTCTGCAAAAGCAGGGATTTCGGCAACTAGCCATGTGAAGGAAATGATCTTTCACCGCCAGAGCCTCCCATGTAGGCGCCGGGCTGTCTCAGGGCATGGCATTCTGCCGGGTGAGGACAGTCCCGGAGTTTCTGGTTGGGGTCCAGGGTGTTAAGGTGTAGGGTTTAGGGAGAGGATGAACGTCGGACCTTATTACACACATCTTGAGCTCTAGCCACTGGACATCACTTTATGAGCTTGCAGCCCCGAACCCTTAAAGACCCCTTGTGTTTAGAACCCTTGATAAACCCGAAGCCCCCCAAGCCCTTAACCTTTAATGAGCCATAAACCCTAAATCTTTGATTGCCCGCGGCCATCTTAGCTTGGATCGACAGCCATGGGAGTTGCCCTTTCACGTGGCAAGAAACGGCGAGAGCTGCAGGCCTGCTTTGCTCTAACGGGTTCTTTGGTGAACTTTACATGGTTCCTTAAGGGTTCTTTCTGGTTGTGTTGTCTGGCATTCCGTGAGGATTCCTGTACTTACAGTTGAAACTGCCCCCGCAACCTGTGAGCCCTAAAGCCCTGAAGCCATGAGCCCTCAAACCCTTATCCCTAAACCCTAAACCCTTAAACCCCTAAACCCCTAAACCCTAAACTCTAAACCCAGAAGCTCCAAAGTCAAACCCTGATCCCTATCCCGCAAAGCCGGCGCAGGCCCAGAAGGAAGCGAGCATCCGAAATCCAACCCCTCAAGCAAAGCCCCCAGCTTCGACACCCCAAGCCCCGCCCAAAAAGCAACAACTCCAAGCAGAAGAAACCCTAACACCCAAACCCAAAGCCCTGAAAGAATGGAAAACCTAAACCGTCGCTAGTGAGTAATGTCGGAAGCCACGCACCCCATTCTAACCATCATGGGCCCCCTGTGAAATCCTCGTAGAAGCCTTAAAGTAAGAACCCTTCAAAAGCCCTTCAAGAGCCCGACGGTTCTTGCAGAACCCTTAAAGAATCCATTAAATCCCATAAAGAACCTTGAAAGAAGCCACAAAGAACCTTTATAGCACCCCTGTAGAATCCGTAAAGAACCCTTGTAACACCCTGCAAGTACCTTTAGGAAACCCTTGTAGAACCCTTAAGCAACCCCGTCTAAGCTAAATGTTGAAATAATTATATAACGTATTAAAATCGATACGAGGATTTCACAAATATACGGTCATGTACACTAAACTAGATAACACTCCGTTATTCCATATAATACACAAAAACCATAATATCATATACTTCTAAAATACTATACAGTAGCAGCGTCCTCATGCCCGTAAGGTAAAGTATAGGGGACCCAGTATTAGTCGGTTCTTCCAGGCTTCTACAAGGATATCACGTGGAGCCCATAATGGTTAGAATGGGTTGTGTGTGGCTTCCTACATTACGTACTGGCGCACGTTTAGGTTTTCCATTCTTTCAGAATTTGCTTTAGGTTTGGGCAGAGGGTTTGGGTTATTATTATTATTATTTTTTTTTTTTCTGGGCTTGTTTTTCTATGCCCTAAACCCTAGACCCTAAGCCCATAAACCCAAAACCCTAAACCCCTAAACCCGAAACCCCTAAACCCTAAACTCTAAACCCCTGAGCCCGAAACCCCTAAACCCTAAACCCCTACACTCCTAAACTCGAAACCCCTAAACCCCTAAACCCTAAACCCCAAAACCCTAATCCCTTAAACCCTTAAACAATCTTAAACGATAAAACCCTCAAATTTTAAAACCCTAAACCCAAAACCCTAATCCCTTAAACCCTTAAAAGCCCCTAAACACAAAACCCAAAACCCTAAACCCTTAAAAGCCCCTAAACCCAAAAACCCTTAACCCTTAAACCCTTAAAAGCCCCTAAACCCTAAACCCTAATCCCGTAAACCCTTAAAAACCCCTAACCCCAAAACCCTTAAACCCTTAAGCAATCCTAAACCTGGGTTCTTGTTAAGGGATTTAATTTAAGTTACAGTAATAGGGATCTATAGTAAATAATAGGGTTTCCTTATTATGGTAACTTCAATTAAATCCCTTAACAAGAAAGCCCGAGCCGACGCGTGAGGTCCAACTGCGCGGCGCCGAAGCTTCGGAGCGCGAGCGCTGGCTGCGGGAGCAGCGATCCGGATCCAAGCTTTGTCATCGGAGTGTAGGGGTTTGGAGTTTAGGGGTTTAGGGTTTAGGGTTGAGTGGTTTAGGATTAAGGGGTTTAGGGTTAAGGGGTTTAGGGGTTTAGGGGTTAGGAGTTTAGGGGTTTAGGGGTTTAGGGGTTTAGGGGTTTTGGAGTTTAGGGGTGTAGGGGTTTAGGGGTTTAGGGGTTTACGGTTTAGGGATTTTGGGGTTTAGGGGTTTAGGGGTTTAGGGGTTTAGGGTTTAGGGATTTTGGGGTTTAGGGGTTTGGGGTTTAGGGTTTAGGGTTCAGTGAGGCTTTAGGGGTTTAGGGAACAGGGTCAACACGATATAATGTAGGGGCCTCAATAATTACCTATGTTGTTTTGGGGGGTCCTTATTATAAATGGAGTATAAACGGACCTCCAAACCCTATTCTGATTATTAAGGCCTCTACAGTATGTTATCGGAGTTTAGAGGTATGGGGCTTACCCATAGGCCCTAAAGTAGTTCCTTTTTGGGGTTCATATTTAGAATCCTATAAGGAAACCCCAAAAGGGAACTACTATGGGGCCTAGGGTAGGGTGTAGGGGGTTTAGGGGGTTGGGGTTTAGGGCTTGAGGGTTTGGGGAGTATGTCATAGTAGAATTCGGCCCCAAACGTGTCATAGTACTGACGTAGTACTCTGGGGTTTGAGGTTTAGTGTATAGGTATACTATCGGCATCACGTTTGGGAACGTCAGGTTTCTGGTTTAGGGTTCAGGATTTAAAAGTTACACTAGAGCAGGAGTTTTCGAATGATCCCTGCACACAAAACCCTGAACAGACTCCTTAACGTCATCGCTCACGTGCTTTCGGTGTGCCTTCTCCTTCGGCTTGACAGGCGTCTCCTGGCGGACCTCGACGCGCGAACGAGGCTTGCTTCCAGGGGGTTGGGTCGGGGTCTTTGGAATCAATAGCTAGTAGCTTTTAACATTTATTCCTCGACGATCTGTTTCGTCTGCGTACCCCCATACAGCTCCACTCCGACTGGTCGCTGCTTCTATCCCTCGATGATCTGCTAAGGCCGCTCACTCTAAACCCTAACCCCTACGAACCCAATAAGCTCCATTCCAGCATGGAGTATCCAACTTTCGGGCTTCCTCGGGCCGGACAGCGCCCAGGTTCAAGAGTGTCGTCGTTGAGTTAGACGAAGGGGAAGAACATTTGGGGTTTAAGATTGTAGGTTTCAGGGTTTAGGGTTTCGGGTTTAGGGTTAACCCTAGACGAAGGGTAAACATATTTGGGGTTTAAGATTGTAGGTTTCAGGGTTTAGGGTTTAGGGTTTGCTAGACGAAGGGTACGAATATTTGGGGTTTAAGACTTTAGGTTTCAGGGTTTAGGGTTTCGGGTTTGCCAGACGAAGGGTACGAATATTTGGGGTTTAAGATTGTAGGTTTCAGGGTTTAGGGTTTCGGGTTTGCTAGACGAAGGGTACGAATATTTGGTGTTTAAGATTGTAGGTTTCAGGGTTTAGGGTTCCGGGTTTGCTAGACGAAGGGTAGACATATTTGGGGTTTAAGATTGGGGTTTCGGGTTTGGTTGGAAACTCACCACGACCATCCGAGAAGAAGAGCTAAAACGGATCAGGTGGTTTCTTACGTGATCCTGTTCCTGCCTGTCCGAGGCCGTCGTTCGGTCATTGAAGCGGGGACCTCGATCCATATTACCCGACCGTAAATCATAGAATTGTCTGAAGAAGAAGCAATGGTAACTTGTAACAGTCCCTGTGTATGTCTGTTTCAAAAGCCCAACAACTATAAAGCCGACAAAAAACAACAAATTCCAACTTTCCGGCGCCAGCAGGTGTCCGCACCTTTTGGTGCAAATCCGGAGTCTAGGGCTTGTGGAGATTTGCGGCAAAAACCACGGAGGCCGGCCCGGTTCAGGGTTTACTATAGGGGCCTTAATACTGATAACCTATAAGTGAAGTACAAAGGACCCAAAACCCTATTCTAATTAATTAAGGCCCCTGTATTAGGGTTGATAGTTGTCGAGTGAATAGCGAGAGTATGCCCATCTTACAGTCCTTACTATAAGCGCAAAACTCTATTCCAGTTGTTGACGCGCCGAAGTTGGGGTCTTGGGTTTTGGGCATCGTTATCTTATGTTTGTAGAGGAATATGGGTGGTTCTCCAAATTAAGGTCCCTTTTTCGGTCCCCAAAATAGCACGGCACCCTTTTTAAAAGGAGCCTGAAAGGGACCCTATCTTAAGAGCTACCCATACTTTCAGAACCCAAAACCCACTTGTTTGTAAGTTCTTATTGTAAACCCTAATATGGGATTTATAGGGACTCTACAAAAAAAATTGGTTTTGGGGTTCTTAAGGTTCAGCTAAGTTGAGAATTTTTCAGACCTCTGCTTCTCTAGACCTCCGAGGCTCGAGGCGCTTGTGAACTCTAAGCGCTGCACCTTTAAATGGGTAATCCGGCCCCCTGTTGGGGAGTAGGGTTTAGGGTTTAGGGTTTAGGTTTCTTAAACCCTAAACCCTAAGCCCTATAGAAGACTACTCTGAAATGCGGCACCCTAGAGCTTGGCAACCCAAAAGAGGCCCTGGTGTTGACAACCACCAAAAAGCAGACCGCCAAGCCTGCCGTCCGAGTCTTTCTAGATCGTTTAAGCGTTTAGGGTTTGGGGTAGGGGTTTAGGGATATTCGGGTTTGGATCGGTTCAGAGCTCTATGGTTTGTGCTCCTGGGGGCTTTCGATTTCAATGGTTTCAGGGTATCCCCATACACTCCCTTTGCGATGTACGCCTATGTAGCCCAGCCCGCAGACCCTAAGCCCTAAACCCTAAACAACTACGTTAAACACACTAAACACTAGCTAACCCTAAACAGCCCTCAACCCTAGGTACTCCGCCAATGCTACAACCAGAAAATCCTCTAATAGATAAAACCCATGAAGCTATACAAAGCCTGGGCCACTAAACCCCAAACCCCTGAACTCCTAAACCCCTCAGCCCTAAACTTGAAAACGGTGAAGCCCTCTATACCCCTCCAAGGCCCTGCAAAATCCTCAAGAACAGGCCCTAAGAATCCCCGTATATAAGGCGTAGATGCAAAAGGAACCTTAAACCGCCAACCCTAATCCCTAAGCCTTGATCCCTAAACTTTTTAACCATAACCCCTAAGCCCTAAACCCTGATCCCTAATCCGTATAAGCCCTAATCATCCTTGAACCCTAAACCCTCCCTAAACCCTGATCCCTAATCCCTATAACCCTAATCCTCAAACCCTAAGACCTGAATCCTTCTTCCATCCACGGGAGGTATCTTCGAGCGGCTGGGAGACTGGCTGCAAAGGACCTGGGGCTACTGGGGCTGAAGGTAGGCAAGGGTGATTATGGTTTAGGGCTTAGCGTGGAGCGCGCTTAAAGGTTTGAGGTGTAGGGTTAAGGGTTTGGGTTTAGGGTTTAGGGTTTAGGGTTCGGGGTTTAGGGTTTAGGGTTTAGGGTTTGGGGGGGGGGGATCTAGGGTTGAGGTTTCGAGGTTTGGGGTGCTGTAGGGTTTAGGGTGAGGCCTTCAGCAGTGTTCATCGGGATTCTTCTAGGGCTTCATTGGGTTCAGGGTGTAAGGTTAAGGGTTAAGGGCTTAGGGGAGTCATAGGTGTTACCAGTGCTTTCAGGGTTCTATTGGGGATGGTGTTTTTTTATTTCAAGGGTTTATTGGGTTATATCCATATGTAGAGCTACAACACTGACTTGGTTGGAACTGTAAGGAAAAAGGCCTTTCTGAAAAAACACACATCAGGTACACGGCAGTTGTTTGGGTTTGGGGTGGTTGGTCTTCTGAAAGCATCACCATGATTTCCACCACGGTTTCTACTGTTGGCATAATGCATTCTACTATCTACTGTTCCTATTGCAGTTGCTGTTACCACAATATTGGGGCTTGTCCCGGCATTTCGAGTCGAAGCCAAGTCTTTTCACCTTGGATCTCTGATATGTGCAAGTCAGTCCTTTTCTGAGGCTTGTAACATTTCAAGCCTCGGGTATCGGGCCAGAAATTATGCACGAAGGCCGGGGTTTGTCCGTCTAGTGGGACTTTGGCCCCTACAGCCTGGAACCCTAAACCCTAGCAACCTCAGCCTAAGCCCTAAAGCCGGGCCTAAACCCTAAAGCCTAAACCCTAAACCCTAAACCCTAAAAACCTAAACCCTAAACCCTAAAGCTTAAACCCTAAAGCTTAAACCCTAAAGCTTAAACCCTAAAGCTTAAAGCCTAAAGCTTAAAGCCCTAAAGGGTGTGGGACCAAGGTCTCGTGGTACACTCCACGGATATCCGGCCAGACATCTACGTGCCGTCTGGGCCTTGGCCGAGCCTCCGGCCACAGCCTCCGCCATGTAGTCGGCTCTTAGGTTTTTCGGGTTTAAGGTTAAGGCTCTGAGAGGTTTGGGTTTAGGGTTTAGGGTTTAAGGTTAAGGCTCTGAGGGGTTTGGGTGTAGGGTTTAGGGTTTAAGGTTAAGGCTCTTAGGGGTTTGGGTTTAGGGTTTAGGGTTTAAGGTAAAGGCTCTTAGGGGTTAGCGTGTTGGGCATGGGTCGTTTAGGCTCTTAGGTTTTAGGGTTGAGCTTCTTAGGGTGTAGGGTTTAGGGGTTGACTAGGGGTTGAGGGAACCCTTAGGCTACACCCGACATCCCATCGGCTAGACCTGTAAAGTCTTGGGGCCAAACCCTCGGCTTGATTAACCCCTAGACCCCAAACCTCAAAAGCCTGTACCTTTATAGTAACCGTAAGCCCCAAACCCTCAGACTCAACAGAAACACCCTAAGGCTTGAGCCCTCCGGTGCTGTTTCGGTCCTGCTGTTTAGGGTTGAGCCTTGAGTCGAATTTCGGATGTGCCAGTTGGATGATAAATCCTGCATGACCTTCATCCGTAACCTGGATTTCGGGTGGGTTTTGGGGTTTGGGGCTTAAAGGGTTTAGGGGGCTTAGGGTTTAGGTGTCTGATTGCCCTTCAAGGTGCAACCCATTGCAGTCGCCAAAGCTCCGATTGCAAGTGCGGCCGATCGACGAGTGGGGACGGCTGTGTGACAGGAGACAAATATGGAAGCTTCAGTAGCTACCAGTATTATTCATTAAAGCTCTTTGTCATATACATATACATATAGTAGGGTATACACGAGAACCCTATTCTAAGTATCAGGGCCCAGTATTGCATCTTACATCTCGGGGATCTTACCCAAACCGGCACAGCCCTAAACTCTAAAACCTGAGTTAGTTCCAAACCCAAGACACTAAAGCACCAAACTCCCAAACCCTACTGAAGCCTTGACCTCAACAAACCTTATTATATTAGTCCCCTATAGCCTTTATCGGACCCCTTAAGAGCCTTTTATATAGAACGCTCATAGAGCCCTAGTCATGCAATCTTGTGTTTTGCTTGGGCAGAGGAGTTTCGCTGCTGGGCCACAGCAGGTCAGGAAGAGCTTCGGGTTGAGGGATTAGGTTTGGGAAATAGGGTTTAGGGTTTAGGTTTCAGGGTTTGGGAATTAGGGTTTAGGGTTTAGGGCACCCGATCCTGTGTGCTGTAAGGGTTCTATCGGTGACCCATCTGGTGTTCACAGGGCTTAAGGGCCTTAGGATGAGTGTATGGGGCACCGTTTCGGGCTGTTGGGTGTTGGGCTTTGAGTTGAAGGTGTTGGGTCCTCGAATTTTGGGTCCCAGGCCTTGGGGGTCTCAGGCCTTCGGGCTTAGGTTTTTACATATTTCAACCCTACACCCTAAACCCTAAACCCTACCCCCCCCCCCTCCTCCTCCCAAGACAAACACAAAACACGAAACCCCAAAACGCAAAACGAAACCCTTTAAGTTTGGGCTGCTGTGCAGATCCAGGGTCCTGGAGGTATGTAGTTGAGTGCAGCGAGGCTGTTCGGGGCTAAGGAGAAGGTATAGGTTAGGAGTCGAGGGTTTGGAGTTTCGGGTTTAGGGAAGGTCGGTTCTGGTAGGTTTACCAAGTCCGCACATGCTACCATTACGGACTGCGGGCCCCAAAAAGACTATAATAGTGATGTTGTTTGGGACCTAGCTGCATGTTGATAGTCGCATACATGGACCCGGGTAAGGTCGTCTGCAAACGTACAAGCTCATCAGCAACGTTCACAACAAGCCATGGACACATGTCACTACATAAACATGACGCTAGTACTCAACAGCATGGCTCGGAATCAATCTGCAAACTGGCTTCGGAAGCCTATGCTGTTCGTTGGCCCCAGAATCTTAGGGTTCAGGCTGTAGGGCGCACCCCCCAAATACAAGCCATGCACCCTAAACCCTACACCCTAATCAATGACCTAAGCCCTAGACCCTAAATCCCTAAAACCTAAACCCCAAACCCCAAACCCCCCGAAACCCTAAACCCCAAACCCCTAACCCCTAAAACCCTAAAACCTGAACCCCAAACCCCTAACCCCCTAAAACCCTAAAACCCTAAACCCCAAACCCTAACACCCAGAGCCCCAAACTTGCTTCTTCGTCTCTTTTCTGGTCTCTTGGAGCATTAGGGGTTTAGGGGTTTTAGGGTTTTAGAGGGGTTTGGGGTTAGGGGTTTAGGGTTTAGGGTTTAGGGTCTCCTGGAGCAGGCTGATGGTCAAGTCCTGGGGGCGAACCGATTTCTGAAGACGCGGGGCAAAGATGGGGAAAGCAATATGGGCCCTTTGGCACGACGTAGGGGAGAGGTATTGATCTATTTGTCTAGCTATCTAGCTAGCTTCTTTATATAATATAGATTTGCATATATATATATATATATATATGTATATATATATATATATATATATGTATTTGTGTCTGTCTGTATGTATGTATGCATGGATGGATGGACGGATGTACATCGTGTTGTTATATATATATATATGTTATCTGTTTATAGTTACAGATTATGTATATACACATGTGTATACAGATATATATATATATATATATATATCTGGGTTTAGGGTTTGGGGCTTCGCCTTCAGGGTTTGAGTTTAGGGTTCCGGGGTTCAAGTTCAAGTTGTGATTTGTAGTCAGTTTGGGGGGAGGATAAGTCGATTCGACGTTTGTTGTTTAGACTTGCGGGCACCCTAAACCAAACCCTAAGCCCTAAACTGTTTAGGGCCCACTACGTACTGCTACTGATGGTTCCCAGAGGTTAGTTGCCTCTCTCGATATCGTTGAAACCTTCTCGTGTTCGACAGCCCGTACAGCAAAGCAGGAGAAACACGTGCCTTAAAGAAAGCTGGGATCCCCGTTTCAGCGTTTATAGGATCAGTCTCTCGGACTTTAGGGCCGTAGGGTTTAAAGTGTAGGGGGTGATCGCGGAGGCAAGTTGACAATGGCCCTCGTGAGCTTCATGACAAACACCTGTGGCTGGGGACTGAAGTTCATCGATGGCTGCAATCTGGGCCGATTCTGGGCAGACTTTGGCGACACTGTCACTAAGTGAGTCGCCAGAAGTATGGGTGATATCCCCGGTGTGACTGGGTATCAGTGGGCATCCTCAACACCTTAATCTTGTTGGGGTAACAACCTGATTTAGGGTTTAGGGTTTAGGGGATTTTGCATGTTGAGGTTTGTCTTCGACATTTCCAAACTTCACGGGATCCGTCGGCAACCAGACCGTGGGTGCCCCTGAACATCCCGGAGATTTCGTAAGCCCTAAGCCCTCAACCTCAGGAAATGGGCAGATCCGGGAGATGCAGATGAAGTTCACGGCACCTCATCCCCTAAACCTGGTGGCCCCACACCTGATGATTGACCTCCGCCAGGCAGGGTACATCGCCACTCGGCCCCTTAGGGGTTTAAGGACTATGAGCTGCCTGAAAAAACTACCAGGACTCGTCCCTGAAGTCCAATAAGGCTGTTTATACCACAGTGTCCTACAATATACCCAAAAGCCCTATCCGTACTATGAAGGCTCAACCATATGACTTCGGAAGTTGTGGAGAAGTGCTGTTGGTGGCTTCATCCCCTCAGCCTATGGCCAACCCGAGGAAGAACAAGGTCAACACGATATAATGTAGACCTTGAGAATTAGAACAGGGTTTTGGGGGCTCCTTGTGATAATTATCTTATGACATACCCCCAAACCCCAATCTACTTATCTAAGCCCCTATATTAAGTGACAGGTGAAAAGACCACCAATCTTCGAGTATAAGTTGATCATGAAACCCTCAAAACACTCGTTTTAGACACCCTTCCAAACCCTAAGCCATTCTAAACCCTACACCCGGTCCCCTCCAAAACTTTCAACGTTCAACACCCCCAAAGGGTCCAACATACCCCCCAATGAAAAACAAGCCCTATACATCTTGAACCCTGAACGCTGAGCCCTAAACCCCATAAACCTTAAACCCTGCACCCTAAACCCTAAAACCTAAAACCTAAAACCCTAAACCCCAAACGCCAGCACTGAGGAGATCTATGGGCCGGACACCCGGGGCGTCTACGGCTTCCTTCATCAGTGGCTGGTGCCTTATCTGCAACATCAAATTAAAAAGCCGTGGCTGGGGTTTCGGGCATAGGGCTTAGGGAAGGGTTCCATAAGTGTTACTGCAATGTTTCTGTAAGCTTCTTCCGTTAAAGCTTAAAGCCCTCCGCTACATAGGACCTTATGGTTCCGGAAAGAATGACGTGATTGGCTTAAGACTTGCAATTTCCCAGCTAAGGAGTCTCAGTCATCTTGTCAAAGCTTCAGGGCATTGGGTTTAGGGTTTTTCGCATCGGAGGCTACAAGGTTCGAGAGACTTTGGGTTCAGGGGGTTTGGTTTGGGCTTTGTGGTTAACGTTGCTCTTCCCAAACCGTTTGTCCAGAGTGGGGCAGACTCCCAAAGGCTGGATCGTGGGTCAAGGATGATACGTGCTGGATTGATTAATTATTTTTGTTGGTTTTTTGGGGTTTAGGGCTTTATGATGATGTTCCAGCTTTGTTGGAAAGCCCGTGCTTTAGGGTGATGATGTTCCACCTTTGTTGACTTCTACTACTCTAGGTTTCTTTTTCAGTGACGCCGTTTTGTGTCATGTCCGTTTAGCTCTTTCCAATTTTCAACTGTGCCCCTGTTTATGGCTCACGGATTCCAGTTCTTCTATGCCTAGATATGAACACCACAGTGAAGGCCCCAGGGTGACAATCCGACACTCTAAACTCGACCGTGCCTGAAGCCCTATGTAGACCCTAAACCCTAAACCCTAAACCCTAAACCCTAAACCCTAAACCCTAAACCCTAAACCCTAAACCTTAACCGTTATGTAGACCTTCAAGTAGAGGCGCCTTGGTATAACGAAACCCCCCCCTAAAACGGAGCCCTACTCTTGCGAGATCCGTCACCAGGAGAAGAACTGGAATGCAACCGTCCTACCGGCGGACTTTCAGTTCTGTGATCGTCACCTGGAGAGTCATGTTTTTTTTTTTTTCCTTGGTTGCGGGGGCCCTAAACCCTGAACCCTGGGCCCTAAACCCTTCTGCAACTGCTAGGCAGGGCCTGGCGCCAGGATGAATTCCTCGAGTATGGAGCGCTTGTAGAAAGCTTTGTAGGCCTTGTGGAGCTCGGAGGGCTAGTGAAGCTCAGGGTGCCAACGCAGAGAATTCCGAGTTCCGTGGAGCCTAATTGCCAGAAGAGTAGGGTTTAGGGTTTAGGGTTTAGGGTTTAGGGTTCTCATAGGGTGTCAGGAGCATGTAGGGGCCTTACTCGCAAGAGACTGGCCGTGGCTTGCCATATCACGGTATGACTAGGGACAATCAACAAGGGGATATTGCCGATGCCCGTAGATACAGAGTAATACAGGGGCCTAAATAATTACTAAAGCTGGTGATTCCTTATGATTATAGTACAATATACCCCAAAAACCCTATTCTAATTACTAAGGCACCTATCTTGGGGACAGTCAACAAAGGGATGCTGCTGTTTCCCGTAGATGCGGAGTAAGCTCCTGCTCCGGCTCGGGAAAGCTTCCCGCTCGAAGGCTTTCGTAGTTCGGGATTCCGTTCTGGGACGGAAAGCGCATCTTTGGAAGATGCCCAACCCTAAACCCTAAACCCTAATCCCTAAACCCTAAGCCCTAATCCCTAAACCCTAAACCCTAAACCCCAAACCCCGAACCCCAAACCTATGGACCTCAAAAGTCCCACTATCCGAGGCTCATGCCTCTCAAAGGCCCTAAAGCCAGCCTCAAAAATATAGATGACCAGGCCGGTGCCCAGAATATAGGGGCCTAAATAATTACCTATACTATTTTGGGGGTTCCTTCTTATAATTTTAGTATAATGCCCGCCTGAGCCCAGAAGCTAAGGCAAATATCGCTGCCGGGCATTCCAAAAGAGAGGCTCTGAAGGAGAGAACAACATGGGCCTTTGTGCCATGCGCCCGGGCAGCGCAGAGGAATGGTTTAGGGTTGATTGTGGGGTCCCTTTCTGAAAATTTTGGGGGTCGCCTATTCCAGCACAGATTATACCATATCGCGGGATGATTATCAGTACTATTAATTATTGCGACGACTCGTTCTACCATTATTGTTTTTCATGTTGTGATTATTCTTGTTGCAGTTACTGTATAATTGCAACGATTATGGCTTGCGCTTCTGTATTACTGTCTTTTGTGGAGTTCAGAATTGCTTTAGGCATATCGCCAGTCGGAAACACCAGAATCTAAGCGTTTGAGCTTCTTCGGGCGACGTGCATAATGGGAGATTTGTAGATTCAATGTATTCTCCCTTCTTGCAAGATTCCATTGTAGTTCAGTGTTGTCATGAAGACGTAGTCTTTTACCGTTATCGGTCTCCTTCCATTTAGAAAATTTGACAACATGGAGGTGGGACCACGACGAGAGAGGTAGAGAACAGGACATAAGCCATAAGCAACAGCCCGAGGATGTTTGCGTTTTATAGGCACCAGGTTTCAAAACATCGCTTTCAGCCTGGAGGCTAGGCTTTGGATCTAGGGGGATCTAAGGCAACGCCCTGCGTCCTAGCTTGTAACACGTAGCAAGCACTGCTGTTGTTGTCGATTCAACTGTTTTGCATGAGTGCTCGTGTCGGATCATGATGATGGTTAACTGGACGACCAAGGTGGCGCTTCTGACCATTGTCAGCAGGTCATGATTGGGATCGTGATGTCGATGGTGGTGATGCCGAAGCTGATGACGATGGTGATGGCGATGCTGGTGGATATGATCATGCTGGTGATGACGACGGCATCGATGTTTATGTTGGTGTTGGTGATGGTGTTGTTCGTCGTGGTGCTTGTGATGACGATGCTGCCGTTGATGTTTATGATGACGGTAATCATGATGATGGTGATGGTGACGAACAATAACATCATTATGATGATGATGCTGATGATGATGATTATGCTTGTGTTGATGATGGTGGAGACAATCGAAGATCATTTTCTGAAATCACCATTGCTGTGTTGTTCACTTCACAGCCAAGACTGCCGCTGTAGCGGCGTATCAGAGTCTACATAATCTTGATAACGCTGATCAGCAACTTTGCTTAGGATGGTTTCCTCAAGTTGGCCTTCCAGTGTGGAGATTGCTGCATGCTCACTGCCGAGCTGTACCCTTAGGATATCGGGGGCTGAAGAGGCCACATTGCTTATTGGGCTTTCCAGTAAAATAGGGGACCCTAATATAGTACCCCAAATAATAGGATCCTGATTATAAGGACCCCAAAATAAGGTACCTGTCTGAGCCTTTAAGCCGCCAGAAACAGATTACGCAATATTCGACCGTGCAGCTTCGAGGCACCTCGTGGACTTTCTCAGCAAGGCTCGGGCTCTGTGGTTTTTCCTTCATCGGTTTAGGGTTTAGGGTTCACTCGA